AACAGTGTAACGGTTAAAATTATCAGAATAAAGGGTAGGTTTCGTGGTTTATTTATCTTTTCCTTCTCCGCTGGGAGGTTGCGTGACAATTTGTAACTCCGGTAATTATATGTCTTCTCCGGTGGCCCGGTTCCGGAGAAATATGCTGCTACTATCTTCCATGATTCCCTTATACCCGAGGATATAGAGTGTAGGAGTTGTGGGCAGAAGACGAGGATAGATAGATAAATAGAAGGATGGACGGAGAAGGAGAAGAAAACCTACCGGAGAAATTATCAGTTCTGACTGATCTGTTCCCGAAGACGCTGAAAGAGAACCAGATGCTACCCGACACACAAAACATCAAAAACCAGTTTCAGTTTGTTATGTAAACATAAGAGAACCAGTTTCTAATAGTTATTCAAAGATAGAGACTTGGCTTCGGCAGCTTGTTGTGGCGTTGTTATGTAAACCTGAAAACCGGTTACAGCTTGTTATGTAAACACTTCCTGGAGAAACCAATAATCAGTCCAGGTATGAAATAATAATCTCGAATACGCCATGTTTAATCTAAAAAGTTATTTTGATATCGAAACATTATTTGATTAATTTAATTGTTGAAGAACATGAAATAACGATAAAAATGTTAGAAGGCGTTTGTAGAATTATAAATTTGTAATTTGGACATATTAATTGGAAATATTAAAACAATTGGAGTTTGAAAGAGAATTTTTTTTTTTAGATTTGTATTACAATCTTATGTAATTTTTTCGATAATTGTTAAAGGATTTCCCAGTTGTTAAACTGTTTTTAGCACATTATACAACAAGTGCCGGAAGATTGTTGCTATACATCAAGCCAGGCAAATTCTATCTTACAGAGTTAAGTTTTTTGTGCGAATCCAACCGAAATAAACTCATTTAAGTCGCCCTTGCAAACAAATTGTGATTAATGATATTTATACTTATATTTCCAACTATAAAGTATATAGAAAAAGAATAAACGAAAATACATGTTCTGAAAAAGGGTTAGAAAGTAAATGCACTAATAAAATGAAAATTCAGGTTGAAATACCCATTCATTTCAAGATATTTCCGATAAACGAATTGAGTATTTGCCACTAAATCCCTTCCCCATATCTTTGCAGCCCAATGTCGTAGGGTATAGGCCTTAGATTTGTCAAACTATGAACTCTGTAACACTTTCTAGGTTTGAAATATCAAAGGTTTACACCATCAGGTTGATTGATATAGTTCTAAAAAAATTTGAGTTTGCAGCAAAAACTCAATTTCTTTAAAATCAAATAAATAAAAAAAAAATTTCTAAGATATTATGAAGTGAATAAGAGTGCTGTAAAACGATCCAGCAATATGGAAAATATGAAATAAAAAAACAATAGCCCTTAAACTAATCCCCTGTCATCCCTGTAAAGTGTATACCTCCTGTCAGTACAGTGGGTGTGTATAATACAAAAGAATTGAGTCTTTGACACAAACTCTGATTTTCTATTTCTTATATGTCTGCAACCCAATGTCAAAGACCTTAGATATTTCAAACTTTGAATATTGCTGCATCAAATTATCTTAGTTTTAAATATCAAAAGTCTACAACATCAAGTTCCATAGATATAGGGATTAGAAAATTTGAGTTTGTGACAAAGACTCAATTCCTTTAAGAATTTAACTGTTCAGTAAAAACTATGAGAAAAGGGGTTTAAACCAAAGTAGGAGAAATACTTTTATTTAAAAACTAAGAAATTCAGAGAAAAAATAAGCTTTCGGAGAAAAAAAAAACAGGAATTTTTTTTCTCAGTCTAATATTCAACATTTTTACAATTGTTACGTTGGTCAAGATTTAAATTTTAATTCACATTCCAGTATGAAGTGATTTAAACCGAAAACCAACAGAACGAATAGCAATTACTGTCCAAATGTAAAGGGTTACCCACAAAGGATGAGACTGTAAAGACGACTTGATAATATCAAAATATGACGATTTAAAGGTCAACTAAATTCGTCTGGCTTGAATATTGTCTTATAATGGCATATTCAGGGTGTCCCACATCAAATTAGACCGCGTCAATGGGTCTAAATTACGATTTGGGGAACAAATAAAAAATTTAACAAGAATGAATCATTTGGAAAAATTTAATAAGCTAATAGAAATTTTTTTTTGCAGAAAATGCTAGATTTTTCGAGTATTATATGCGTATATTTGGCGTTAAATATTGGAGAAAGTCTAATATTATATGGGACGCTCTGTTCAATAATTTGACAAAGAAAGAAACAAGTTTACAATTGCAAGGAATCATGAATTTAAGGAAACAGACAGTATAAGTATCTGAAGTATCTGTATATAAAGGTGAAGGTATAGATGAATTAAATATAATCAAGCAAAGATAATGAAGAACATTATATCAATTCAGGGGGCAATATAATTCCTTTTTCAATCCCATTTGGGATTGACAAATTTGAAAGAAATGGGGGCAAATACTTTTATTGGGGGCAAATTTTTTTTATATGATAATTAAAAATAAAATTGGGGGCATTTTTTTTAAAAATTGGGGGCATTTTTT